GTCCTACCACCTCAACGTACCGAGTATCTGCGCGTGCACGGCCGGTACAAATGTCACTGAGGTGGTAATAGGTGCCGGTCGGCGTGCGCGGTCGAGTAGTCAGTTGAAGTACTCGGACGGGACACGTGTACGTTACCGCAGGGCCGGACGGCGGAAGTCCAAAAGTCGCCATGCAAATATGATGGCCCGAGCACCAAGGTCGCGCGCGGATCATTGTGCATGATTGGTTCTTCGGATGCCTTAGTACAACTCACCGCCTTGATTTGCCTGGCTTCGCTGTCGGATCGAAGATCGACGTAGGTAGTCCTGGTGGAAGACTGTAGTCCTGGTTGTATGAGGAAGCAGATTGTTGACTGCCTTCCGACGTTCCGAAGCTTTCGTACAGTGACTAATCTGGACAAATTCTCGAGTAGATTCCTGACATCATCGGTACAAGTGACCAATCCTGCGAGGCGGCCTCTATTGCTTGCACAGCTATATTCATGTCCTTTTCATGTCCAGGGAATCGGCAAGTTTGACCAGTTCTTGCATCATGGTTGGTGGCTTGCAGGCAGTGGCGGGTGCCTGCAAGTTGCAAAAGCACTACCGTATCTGAATCGATCATTTGCGGCCAATTATGGTCAATTCTCACCCTGGTTTGGATTTGGACATCGGTTCTGAAAAAGAAAAAGCTCGCGCATCTTGTGGCGTTCCATGCCCGGCACGTGCTGACGCGACTAAGCTAGTGCACAAACATTGTAAGCACTTGCCACTGAGGCCAGTTTGAGTCGTCTGCTAACGGTGCTTTGCCAGTAATATGGAAACCTAGTCCGCTCTGGCGATCGATCAGAGAGTGCATGCTTGGTCCGTGCAGCAGTAGACGGCGTGTTTTATCCATACACAAGGGATCGACGGCAACGGAAATGTCGGCGGCAGGTTCAGCTCGAAGGGGGCCCGTCCCTGATATCGCCACCAGAGTCCGGAATACATCGGAACAGGGTCCGAGGTTGACCTCCTCTGCTTCATTCAAGCAACTAGGGCGGCCCTTGAGACTTTGGACGGACAATGAGCAAGGGTCTGCGGAGTCGAGCCTCCCAGGGAAAGCACGTCTGTTGGTTGTGTCCAACATTTATGGGGTGACTTTCTTTGCGCATGCAAACGGTGAGGGATCCTAACACACCATCACGTGTACTTGTCCTCCTCGTTTCTCGACTCACATGGAGGATCAGAGAATTCCTCAGTGCAATTGTGACTCACTGGGCCAGATTCAGGAACCCGGCATTCCCGTGAACCGCCTCTTTCAGAAGTTTCTCTTTGGGATGCTCAAGGATTGCAAGAGACGGATTGGCCAGGTTGTAAAAGCGGAGCCCAACTCGTTTATCCATTAAATCTAAGCGCTGACGTTCACATGAGGTTTGGGCCCTTGACCACGGACGGTTATGGGCTGCTTACGGGCACGGTTTTAAGTGGTTTTATGTCCAATAACTAGACTTGGGCGGGTCGCCCGCCTTGAACCGAGGTCAAAGCCCGGCTATTCGTCCAATAACGTGAAAATAAATTCTGTAAATCAGCCTGGTTAGCAGCCAAAACTTCCTTTACTTCTGAAATTCCCTAACTCATCTGTAGGCGTCTATGCTGCCCCCACGGCTCGGCTGATTGAGCTCGCCCAACTGGGCGATCGCGAGTCCTCTGCTTCCAACGGAGTAGGAGAACAATTCAAGCGGGTGTCGTTCGAAGAGAGTGTTCACATCCTCAGCCTCTCAGCCGACGAGCTGCGTCTCGCGGTCTGCACGAAAAGGAACTTGACGATCTACTCAACGCAGGAGCTTCTGGAACAGGTGAAGGCTTCAACTTGAAGGAACGGACTTAATTCAAACGATACCGCTACTTCGTTCTGCGTTTCGAAGCTTGCGCAGCGCGAGTTGGTTCGATGGTGTCTTTGATTCCTGAGACGGACATGATCCGGCAGGCAAGTAGGGAGTCCGGACCTGCTACGCACGGAACAAGAGTCCTGACTTCCCCGCTTTTGGACCGTCCCACCCTACTTGAGTTTAGCGGTGGACACGTGTCCCCATCTTTTGATCAGTGCTCTTTTTCACACTTCCCCGCCTCCATCCGTTCTGGGCACTGTGACAACTCCCGGCGCTCGCCTTCTGAGAATAAAGAGTTGTCTGTCTCCTCGATTGTTGGGAGCTTTTGACGAAACACTGGATCGTACTGATTCTCGTTTACTCCACTTCAGCCGAACCCCACCGCTTTGAGGACCTTCGCACGACGTTGCGTGCGGTCTCTGGCGTGGTCACCAACCGGCCCCTGCACTCTGCTCGCTCTCTTAGAAAACAACATTCTGCTGCTGATTCCCGACGTGACCGAGGGCGCTATTCCTTCGCCGGAAGTCCTCATAGCGGTGGCAGGTAAGACATCGATGAAACGAGTCTTGATTTCCTTCAGAGTCTCTGGCGGAAGTAGTCTTGACTTTATATGGAATTACGGTGAGCTATCTTGAGTACGGACCTAGGTCATGCCTACGGAACGGGTGGGATTGGTCTGGGGTTTTAAGGGTGGGTACGGGTGCGTAGCATGTAAACTTTGGGTTTAAGGTTTTCGTTTGTAGGAGCCCGGGCAACTGGTCCAACTCAACATAGGCCTGACTCCACAAGGAATCAAGACTTAGTGTGGCAGACTGATGGGCTTCAAAACACGTGAATGGCAAGAGTCAATTTCACCTTTGGAGAGGTTTAATGCCAGCATTCGCAAACGGGCTGTAGAAACTTGGTGCGTTCGCCTCTGTCTCTCAGGCGTGCTTGTTTCAGCTGTGATTAGAGTAAGTCTTGACTTACAGAGCAGACCTTGAACATCTCGTGTGCGTTACCGTGCATTTTCAAGTGGTACATTCATTCCACTTCCGGTTTCTCAAAGCATACTCTTGGGCTGGACTTGTTTTGAGCTTTCTTCGCGCAACGCTTTCCAAAGGCGGTCTTTCCAATTTTCTAGATACGTGAGGCCATCATCGCACCGATAATAGTCAGCAGGTAGTGAGTACCTCGCTTCGCTTATCATGCTCGTCGGAGTCTGAGGCTCAAATCTCAAATCAAGGCCTGGACAGAGACCATTCCAAAGATAATCAGCCAATCAGTTTCGACTGAGATCGTGCGCTCTTGACATCGACCTCAAGTTGGAGATACGTCCGTGACACGGATTCCCTCTTCGGACCATAGTGCACCGCACCTGCTCTGGCCAATCTGTGCACGCGTTCCTTTGCCGTGACTGACGCAGTTAACCTCTTACTTCTTACAGCTTCTTGGAGCCCCGATGGACGCCACGTGGCCTACGTATCCACAGACGGTACAATCTACATCAAGACGTCAGATCTTAAGGCGTTCATTGCTACTACCAAACTTGAGCTGCCGGTTGGGTTGCGAGCTCGAGACTACCGGACGAACAATGACATCAAACAGAGGAGTGAGAACGCCCAGTCGTCCTTCTTATCCATTTTTGAGCGCCGCCGAGCTTCTCAGATAACCGCGAAACCCGCAGAACCACAGATTCGGTAATGTTGTTTGGCGGCCGGAGTCGGTTGTTGCAGGTATCTATCCACGGGCGCGTAAAAGGCATCACCATAGGGCCCATGCAATTCTTTCCTCTCGCACAAGCAACTCAAGAAACTCAAGAATACCTTCCTTACAGATCAATCTTTCCGCGTCCTGAACCGCAATTCTCCCCTCACTTTATCTGGGGTACTTCAGAAGCTGGTGCTGAAAGAATTGTCCTGATAAGTGAACCAGAAAAGGGACCTTGACGGGGGATGCCTGCCTTACGACCAAGCATCTCTCCTGCACTGTTCGTCATTTAATCTGAGTATTGACGCTCTTAGCAACCTTAGATCACCTTGTGTTGGAAGGTCTCCTTTTTTCCTGGTAAGACGAAGGCTAAGGGCACTCGCAAAACTGTGCAAGCGATGGACCCACGTCACGGATAAGCATCTCAACTTGTCTTACATCAGAACTACGTCACTTCTTGCAGTCGACAGTCTGGAATGGGTTCACCCTGATCTTCTCCTCCTTGGCCTGGTGCAATCGGACCCAATCCAAGCGTCCGGATCCGGCACAAGCCCTCTGGTCGCCCTGAGATTCACTGGTTCGGATTTTGCGGACAGAACCGGCAGTCTGAGCCAGATCCTGTTCACCGGCCTCTGCCCGCACATCCTTCCCGGAGCAACAAGAGCAGACACGGGACCGAACTTGCACACAGCTGTCATCAGCGCTTGGTGAGTTTGCAATCTTCGCGAACATCCTTCTCGATCCACAGGATCGTGCTCGGGGGAAAGCAACATGGAAATCAAAACCTAGAAATGCAAGCTCCGCACCCTATAGGCACCCAATCACAAAGGGGCAGAGTTCTTGTCAAAATCTGAGGAAGAGAAGGCACCATATTTCACGTCGATCACGAGCGGGTTATCTGGTTTTTGGGTTTGCCAAATGCCTTTTAGTAGTATATATCAGGCTCCCGACAGTGACACATCTGCCTACTTCCAGCGAGGGCGATCGCTTTAGAGTAGGAACAGCACAAGCCGCCGCCTTCTCGAAGTACGGCAGTTCTTTACGTGATTCGTTTGGGAATGATTAGAAAGATTTGTGCGGTTCAACCAGATGAACTTGGGAAACCGCTTCAATATTTCCAACAGTCGAAAGTCAGCTCTGCTTTGCTTTGAGCAGAGGTCCAGTCGTCTTCGAATGTTCATTTGTATAATCGAAGAGCGGTTGCCCTTTGTACGAAGCGCAGAGGAGAACGTCTCCTACGCCATGAAAAGATTGTTTGGTAAGAAAACAGAGCACAGCTTCACTAGGTACGTGCCTTGAAGTAGTGACAACTCAATCTGAGGCGGTTCAAAACTCAACTTCAGAGAGGGTGATTCTATGCTTGAAATGTCTCTTGACAGACCTGAGTTGGTTGACTATCTGATAGAAGCGGCTTGCAGGAACTTCATACTCGTTGCTAATCGGAAGAGCGCTTCCGAGCAAATCAATCTGCTGGGTTGGGATCTTCCCAGCGCCGAAAACGCTGGCTATGAACTCGAGTCGCTGCGACAGTTGAAATGGGGGAGTGCGCCAGACGAATGGCTTCAGTGGGTGGGCTCTCCGAGTAAGCCGTTAAAAGTCCTCATAACTCTTCGAATTTGTGTTTGCGGTACACACGTCATGTGACTAGCGACACGAGTTTCGGCAATGCGGAGCTTATCAAATTGTGCGTCTGTCTCGAGTTTTCGCGCGACATGAGGCGCAGACTTTCCCGTGCTCGGGCGCTGCTGCGCTGTCGCCAACAAACGCTGCCACGTCAGTCAGTCTTCTCTGTGTATCCTGGAGGACAACCAATGTACTTATTAGTTTGTATGAGTGTGACTCTGTTGTTTGTCCAGCTTTAGAGGAGCGAGATTTCGTGGTTGGACTAGCCGTCGACATAACCTCCTCGCAAATTCTGTGGGAGGACCCGAGATTCCCGAGCGGGCACCGTAGGCCTTCCCCACTACCCATTATGCTATACCTGACATCCAACGGCATACTTGGCGCCTATGCCATTGCTAGGTAAGCGAAGTTGACATTAATTTCTTTGGAGGATCCAAAGCAACCGGTAGAGACCTGGATAGGTGAAACAAATTCCACTCTGTGAAAAGAATTAGCACGGGGAGGGTATGGCATGTCAACTTGCAAGTCGGACCGCCCGCATCAAAGGACTTCAATGAATTTTTCTTCTTCCATCGTCATCGTGGTGAAAATTGAGAATTCAATCATCAGATCAGGATCCTTGAACTTTTGTTTTTGAGCACCTCCGCCGAGCCCCGGTTCAGCTGGAGAGTACTACAATACTATTCAGATTCTTAGGCCGTCATCCGCAAGTGAAGCCCCCTGCATGTTTCAGATCCAGGATTTTCCTCAAAACGCTCTTTCAAAATAATCTGGGTCATTGAAGCCGTATATGGGAACACAAAAACGCATCTCGGACGTACCTGTGCAGGCGGGACGCATTGCCGGTTCCCAACCTCGTATCGGCTCCTCGCACCACCTATGCGCCTCTCAGTACTTTCGCTCAGGCCGCAATTCCAAGACGGCCTGCGGCTAGGACGTCTTACATATCCGAAGCACCACCCTCTGCGGCATCCACTATTGCTGGCCCATCAAACGCCCTTACTGGAAGCCCAAGCCGTCCAGTACCGCGCGCGAGCAGCCCGGCAACGCGCGCGAGCAGCGAGGCAGCTGACCCAGGGCCTGGTCTGCGCGCCGTCGGTTCGCAAGCCGCCTCGTCTTCCGGCCAGTCACTGTCCGATGAAGACAACGTGGCAGAGACTACGATAACTGCGGCGCCCGCAAGCACCGCGACTCTCAGAGCGAGCACCCCCGACCTTGTTCCGATCGAGTCCACTTCCCGCGCGAGCACCGCCCCTCATGGGCAGCGCGCGCGCGAGTGCCTCATCCAGGTTCACCGCCTCGAAACGAATCCCCCTCATTCCGCGGCTTCTGGTGATTACGGGGCCGATCCTATCCTCCTTGTTCATTCCGCTCCCTCGTCTCCTGCCGGAAGCACCCGTTTTTCTTCGTCGATAACGATCGGATCTGGGGTTGGTACCGAAGCGCCACGTGGCGGTGTAACGGACGCCTCATCAAGCATACAACGCGCTCCGATCTCGCCAAGGACCGACGGATCCGCCAACCGGAATTCCGGTCCGGGACTCGTCTTCTCTGCAGCGGAAAAAGCGGTTCTCTCTTCCTGGCTCCGCTCCGAGGAGGCGCTTGGCGCCAAGCGGCGCGAGATCGGCGGACTCCGCGCTGCGCTCGCGGCGGAACGGGAGCGAGCGGAACAACTAGAGGCGGCGCTTCACGTGGAGCAGTCGAAGGTGTGGGAGCTGGAAAAGGTGGCCAAGGCGGCGTGCCGCAGCGCCGGCCGCTTACTGGACCACGCGCCGTTGAAGCGATACGCGTACGCGGATCTCGCGGCCGCGACCGCGGGCTTCGCGGAGGCGAACATAATCGGAACCGGGGGGTTTGGGACGGTGTATAAGGGCGTGGTCGACCATATCGAGGTCGCCGTGAAGGTCCGTACCACTAAACTTTGATAGTAATATTAGGATATGATAGGGAAGCGCATAGGACTTTCCTCATGCACCCGACATGAGAAAGCGTAATCAAAACGTGACATTATCCGCACATATTGACTCTTGCCCCCACACTAACCCCATCCGTTCTCGGCGAAGTCCTTCTTGCTTTCAGACGTTATCACCACAGCGCTTTGCGAGCACTTTGTCGATTTTGCGAGACACGGAAAACCTGAAGGCCACACAAGTCACTTCTTCAAGTCTCCCATGATAGCAGCAACTACTGTAACTCCGGCTAACTTTTCTAACCAAAAGCGGCGGGTTGTCTGAAACTTGCTGTTAACCAAACTTCACTGTTTTCCCGAAGGTCCTGTCCGAGCACGGCCAACAAGGCCCCGCGGAGTTTCAGCGCGAGGTCGAAGTGCACTGCCGCGTGCGTCACCCCCACGTCACGATGCTCCTAGGCACGTGCCTCGAACCGCGCGCTTGCCTGGTATACGACCTCATGCCGAACGGCAGTCTGGATGACCGGCTGAACCGCGCGGGCGGCAGCGCCGCGCTGACGTGGCAGGCGCGCGCGCGCATCGCGGCCGAGGTCGCGGTCGTGCTGCTGGCGCTGCACTCCGCCCGGCCCGCCCCCATCATTCACCGGTGAGGGGGCTGGCGGGGCGTTTTTTGAAGATATAACAGAGAAAAGTTGTGCCGTCATCCAACGTTGATGGTTCCTTGCTTGAATGTCCTTCTGATAGGCGGATGAAGGGAACTCTGGCTAAAACGATCACCGGAGTGGATGTCGCTCATCCAGGGGCTGTAAACTGGATCAAGAAAGGTTCTTTAAAGATGACAATCACACAGAAAGTAATGTGTGGTTTGCGAACGGCGACGTGAAACTGGTGCAAAAAACGTCGCCTTATAATCTGTGCCATCTCCGCTTTTACAGCGACGTCAAACCCGCGAACATCCTCCTAGACCGTAATCTCGTCAGCAAGCTGTGTGACGTCGGCCTGGCGGAGATCGCACCTCAGCTCGCGCCCGGGGCAAACCTCCGGGCGGCCAGCCACGTGTCCTCCCGTGGGGGCTCTGCCGTTGGCACGTTCGCATACATGGACCCCCAATACGCGAACGAGGGCGAGTACGGGCCAGCTTCCGACGTCTTCGCTTTTGGCGTCGTCCTCTTGCAGGTAGGCCGCTCGAGATCGACACTGCATTCAAATCCGTCCAGGATTGCAGTTCCAACCTTTGCATTGCACTGGGGAACAGATGCTCGGATCCGCGACGCACGAGAACGCGTTAACGTGCGAAACAAGCAAACCGGACACAACATGCGCAGCGACGTTGGCTCAAGGGTGGCCGGGTTTGAGTTTTCTGCCAAGCCGGGAATAATCGACATAGCATTGAGATCTCACGCTTCACTAGTTGCTTCATCATCCGTTCCAACTCTGAGCGCTCGGGTAGAGACGTACGAATCATTCTGAGCTTCTTGAAAGGGCTGCGCGTTGGAGTGAAGTCCCATCTCACCCGCACACTTTTTACCCTTGCGTTTGACCACAAAAGATTTTGGCTTTTAACCAGGCTGGTTACGAGACTCGAGGCTTGGGTTATTGGACAAGTAACCGATGGTTCACCTTTTTTCACAGATGGTTATCGTCCGAGTCCAGTTATGGGATAGTCAACCACTTCTGGACCAGCTGATAACCATCCGTGGTTAAGGGCCAAAAGTTCGTGTGAACTTATCAGATGTAGTGAAACCTTTTCTGCCTGAACGTTGCAGCTGCTGACCGGCAAGCCGCCCGTCGGGCTGCGGCGCGTGGTGTCGGAGGCCGTTTCCGCGGGCCGGCTGCGCACGGTTCTAGACGCGGCCGCGGGGAGCTGGCCCGCGGAGGACGCGGCCGCGCTCGCGCGTCTCGCGATCGCCTGCACGGAGACCGCGCGCAAAGACCGGCCGAGCCTCGAGAGGCAGATCGTGCCGGTGCTGACCGCCATGAAAGCGCGCGCGCTCGCGGCGTCGGAACGAGAGGGGGGGCCAGAGGTGCCCCACAAATTCAGGTGTCCGATCTCTCAGGTGAAGGTTTGATCACCGCTTCTTCTCTTTCTTTCCGCTAACGGTTTTGTTTTTATGCTTTCTGTTGAAACGTTTGCGCGTTAGAATTCTGCTTGGTCTAATGTTTGCGTGCTCTCAGCTTGTCCCCTCTCAAGTCCGACTTGTCCGTTAACATCAGCTCTATGAGTGGTGCACGCGGTTCCGGGGCGCGACTCGATTCAAACATGTGCCCATGAATCTTGCCGGCTCGACCGTTGGTCGATAGGCCCGGGCGGGTTTCAGAGACATGAGACTTCTGGCGGGGTTTCGAATCGCCAGATTTTTCTGAAAGAAAGGTAAAAGGCAACCGAGAGCGTGTTAGTTGGATCTTGGATACAGAAACCGGCCGGAAAGGTTCCTTGCCACGTTGAATTTTTTCAAAACTCGCCTCTTCCGGAAAATCGAATCGCTCCCGCCACATGAGGAAACGCGATTCTTGCGCATCACTGGAAAGGCTCGAGTCGTGAATTCGATTCCGAGGCCGGCCTTGTTTCACTTTGACGAAGGACGTCGCTCAATTTTAAATCTTCTATAAGCACCCGGTGTCGCGGTTTGATCCTGGCCAATCTCGGCGCGGTGCTCGTTACATTCTGTACAGGGCTAGCTTTGGGTATGCTCGCTTCAGGAGAATAGTTAACGATTGAGTTAAACAGACTCTGATTGACTGGTTGCCTTCTCGTGTCGATTCTGCCCGCCATACTTCCTCGAGGTTAATTTGATTGTTAACGTTTCCTGTCAGAAATCTGCTTCGAGACTGGTAAACAGTGAATATCTGCACCCATTCATTGGTTCCTTTGCAGGACTTCATGGAAGAGCCTGTGTTGGCCGCAGACGGCCATCACTATGACCGGCAATTCATATCAAGATGGCTGTTGACGCGCAAGACGTCTCCATTGACAAACTTACGGCTCGAGCATTGCATGCTAGTCACCGATCTGTCCCTGATGATCGAGATAAGAGAATGGCGAGAGCGTCACAGCGTTTCGTCTCAGTCCGACTCGTAATTAGTAAGACAGGTAGGTTACTAAGCGGGTAATTGAAGACCAGAGGGTCTGTAAGATTATATACGACGATAGGGAGAGACAATGGCGCATGTGCGTGAATCTCAGATTGCCTTGTTGACAACTTTAATAGCCTGGAGACATGCTTCGCCGTAAAACAGCTACTACCTAGTGAAAAGTCACGTCGCGTTGATTTGTCACATGCTTGAAGCTAGCACCGGCCTCGACTGGGGGTGATGTGTGATGGTTCATGTGTCGGGAACTCCAAGCGCAACGCAGGAAACGGAAAGCTGGATACGTTCTTGTTGAAAGTGCTCCAGTGTAAAGCTGCCACGGGATGACCATATGCGTCCGTCAGGTGTCACGCCATCATTGCATCCATGCGCATGAAAAGTGCATAAAAGCCGGCGTAAAGTTAGTGATTAACATGATGGCAAATGTGAACGTGCTAGTAAAAGAGACTGAGTTGCAAGCCGTCTCATTTTCTGTTAGTCAAGTTGATTTGCATACCTGATGCAAATCACATCGCGAGGAGGTATCAGGTCCTTTTTGTTCTGGGCAAACCCGGGCTTACACTCTGACACCATTGGAAGTGCTCGGGACGTACCGAGAGCGTTTATTTGGGATATGCATACGCTGATGGACGTTTTTTGCGAAAGGATACCTGATTGTGTCGCTCTTCTTCGGACGGTACGTCGATCTGTGCAAGCTCGAGCCGACAGAGACAAATCTTAGCGGACGGTGACCGACTCAATTCTCTACCTCGTATAAATATTTGACTTATAGGGGACTCGTTTCTTCCTCGTGGAGTTCATTGGCCACTCTCATACGGTCCCTGCTCCTTATATAATCAGGAGCTTGACAACTCACTAGCTACAAAACCTCACGCCGATGCCTCCGAATTTCGGCCAGTCTAAACCGACTTATTTTGGCTCTTCGGCTTTCTACCGAATACTGGTTAGATACCCAGAGGGTTGATATTAACCGAACCACCAAGCGGTGGTTAGATTCCAATGGAGGGTTAAGATTAACCCAACCTCTAAGCGAAGGTCTTGTATTGGACGGAAGTGCTGGAGCAGGACGCGGCGGGGATGACGGGGCAGACGATCAACTAGAGCGGAAAGGAGAAGAAACGAATAGGTAAGTGCTATATACCAACAAACGGGCAATACAACAGGCGGTCCACCCACCAGCAACGCAGAGTCAATGTTCCAAGGGACCCTACCAACGCAGCACACAGAACATCCAGACTCTAGCCTATCGAGCTATGAGATAAGTCGATATGAGTCGGTGAAGCGGCGCTAGGGGAAACGGACGAAATGTGCGTCACGTGCCATCTTAAAGTGGGCGTATGACGTGCACGTCCTGTCAAGATCGCACGGTGCTCAGACCATCATCAAACTGACGTCCAAAATCGTGGGCGTCAAAAAGATGCCGCCGTCAGCAGCTACGGGTGACGGTCGTCAAATCTCAACGCCCATTTAAGCTGAGTAAGGGGCACGCAGTCACGGCGAAGGTTCCCTTCGGATAAGGACACTAATAATCTTGAGTCAAAGGTTTGAAGACACAAGGCATCTGAATCAAAGGGCGTCAATCGATCCGAATCGGTCAGGAGAACAGACGGGAGAACAGGATCCAGACACGGAGTTTCAGGTAATCCAAGGTCGGAACTTACGTCTATGCTACATGGCCTTTCATAGAGGGCGTTCGCCCACGTGGCTCTCCAGCGACACACAGACCGTGCGCGGTGTGAGTTGTGAGCACGTGCTCTGTGGGCTTTCTTCAAAATATTTCAAAAATAAGATTTCAAATATTAGCAAAAAAAACAAAGAGATGGACGATGGTTTGCTTGCCTTACTTCGATACGAAATTGTGAAAGCATATAAGCGGCAAACCTTTCTCTATATAAGTTCTTAGAATCGGTGAAACACTCTCACCATATAGGCGCATGGTGCAAGTGCTGAAAGGCACGACCCCAGAGCGGAGCCTCGGCTGAAAAGGTCGCTTGAGGGAGCCCTCTTTGACAAAACAAACACAGGAAGTTTTGGCTGCTAACCAGGCTGACTACCAGAGATGACGCTCGGGTTATTGGACAATTAACCGGAGTTTAATCATGTTCAGCGGCTGGTCAACGCCCAGGTTTGGTTACTGGTCAAATAACCAGTTTCTAACCAGCCCAGAACCGTCCTTGGTTAAGAGCCAAAACTCGTGTGAAACGCAGACATTTCGAAGAATAACACAAACAAAGTGTCAGCCTGTTTTCGAAGTCGAAAGAGGTCACACTCACGTTGAGGCTGGCGGTGTTCGACACGCAGACCCAGATCTCGGTCATGACGTTGGTGCCCGGGTTGCAGTTGACGTACGGCAAGTACCCGATGGCCGCGGAGACGGCGTTCCTGATCGAGGTGATGGTGTATGTGCCCCCGGGGTTGATCCCCGCGGCAGACAGAATGGTCTGAAAGGACAAGAAAAAGGCGGTCGGGGCGTTGTAACCAAGCATTTTTAGATTGTTGAGGTTCTGGGGTTTTGTCGGAGTCGGAACCGCAGACTGCATTCTGTATGTAGGTATTTGTGTTGATTGCCCCTGGAGTTGATCCCCGCGGCAGACAGAATGGTCTGCGGGAAGCAAAGAAAGGGGGTCGGGGATCTAAACACGGGCACAAGTCACGAATGGGCGTATCTGCCCCCCAGGATTGATCCCAGCGGCAGAAAAAATGGTCTGCGGAAGTAGTCGGGGCGTTAGAACCGGGCACGTGAATCGTGCCACTTGATGAACCATTCACTGGAAGCTCTCTTTGAAAGTTGAATGTGTTCGAAGCAATCTATTGTGGTTAAGACCAGCGAGACTCTGTGCGAAAAGCTTCGAGATCTGCCCTTGAGGCAGGTTCAGAGAAAGCCAACCGAGCCTTCGATTCTCGTCGCAGTAGCTTTGTTTTCGGACGGTCGCTGTGCAGGCAAGGCGGTCGAATCTGCGTTGGAAGTCTGTTTGGAGTCCGAAGACGTACCAAGAGAAAAGAACAAAAAGACCGAAGAAGAGGAACAGATGCAGCCACATCAGACGTTTCCTGGCTTCAGATCTCTTTTGAGGTCGGGGAAAGGGGTTTTTATCTGCCCAGTAAATCCGTAATTCCAAGGTACCCGGCTCTAGCCTATTCTGGCGTGTTTTTCCCTGCGAAACGATCTTGCAAAATATCCTATGAGAAACTCAATAGTAGGGCTCTCGCGTGTCAACCCATTTGAAGACTCTTAGGACCATGCCGCTTTCTCGGGATATTAGGTTCTTGGAAGCACATCTCGTTTGGTTTTATCGTTGGCCGTTTGCCCCGGAGACGTTTCGAAATCACAGTCCGAGGCCGGACTGTCTGTCTCGGATTGCTTCGACTGTGAGTGCTGCTCCGAAACAAGAGAAGAGACAAAGAGCCAATCGGTCAGGTTCCGGTACGTACCGCCATGTCACCGATGACGTTCTTGCGGAGGTTGATGATGCCAGAGAAGTAGGACAACTGAGAGGGCAGCACGGTCTGAGAGCACGTGCCGTGCTTGCCTGCACAACGGAGAGAAGCGAAGAATGGTCTCAGAGAGGTTGGCAGAAACCTGAGAGAAGCGAACAATGGTGGTCCCAGAGCTGTTAGCAGAAACCCGTTCCAAAAAGTTTGATATTTTCTACAAATGCTCCCATCATACCGGCAATAGAAGTCCGGGCACAAAGGCATGCGGACGCAATTTGGATAGATTCAAGTGAGAGGTGGACAGCTGTCGCCACCAATGGTAGACTTCGAGAGGGACGAAAGTTTCGGACGGCAAACGGACACGATTCGGACAGACTTCGACAAATCCGGACGAAACGCGGACGGGTGTCATCCGCTCTATCGCTGGTAAACTAGCAAAATAGACCGTATCGCTCACGCCGCGCGTGGTTCGACGCCGGCGAGCGTCACGCCACAACGGAGAACAAGCAGAAATCCAACCGGAATCCACACGGAAGTTAGAGCTAGCGGACGGACACGTGTCGCTCACCCCACTCAATCCAGTAAACAGTAAGCCCAGTGAACAGTAAGCATTTCGGGGTTACTAAAAACCCCAACCCAAAAGATCACCCGCTTCGCACCCGCACCCAACATAACCCCCCAACTAACCATACCCGTCTCCGTTACTGGTCACTGCCTGGTTGTTGTTCACATCGTTCGGGTTGTCGGCGAGCGTCACGCCACAACGGAAACCGAGCAGAAATAGAAGCGGTTTCCACATGAGTGTTCAAATTAGCGGACGGACACGTGTCGCTCACCCCACTCGTAGCCCCAGAAGGTGGCGTCACCGTTGGGGGTGACGTTGTCGGAAGCGCACTTGAAGGACGGCCAGTACCGGTCCATATCCGTGACGATGCTCGAGATCTGCGGGCGGGTTAGCAAACCGTCGAGGGTTAGCGAAGGAGGAGGAGAGAGCAAGTGCTGGCCCCATGTCCGTGATGATGCTCGAGATCCGCCGGTTAAGCAAACCGGGGAAGATAGAGCGGAACGATGAGGTGTGCGGGTTTGTGAAAGAGAGCGTACCCCCAGGCGGCCGATCGGCCTAAGACTCGAAGAACGTCCGTTCGAAAAGCCACAGGCGCACCCATTGCAGCGACACATGCCACATGAAATAAGAGGTGGGTGTCGCCAGAGAGCCACGTGGAGTAACGCCCTCTTGAAGTATCGCTGAGGTCTTTCTTGCATGTCCTCTCGACAGCAAGCTAGTTCCCACTGTCTCAACTCATACTCAATCCCAATCAACCTGGATTACGAAAAATCGAATCGCGCAGTGTGCCGATAATCAGGTTTGTCATACCAGTGAGTTTTCGTTCGGAGTAACACTACCCACCTGGCTCTGCTGGAACGCCTCGTTGCCGCAGTTGGACGGGTAGCCGCCCGTGTTGTAGTTGGGCCACATCCCGTGGAGCGTCCAGAAGGGGCCACGTGGCCAACTAGGCTCGGCGCAGAACGCCTGGTTCCAGCCCCCGGGCCACTGGTTCACCATGAAGAAAAAGTCGAACCCGGCCGCGGCTGACGTGGGGGCGGGGGTTGCTCCGGAGCAGCCGGTAACGGTAGCCGCGGCCTGGGTGCACGAGTTGGGGGATCCCGCAGTAACGGTTGAGCGGAAGGCGAAGTCGTTGCCGTTGGAGTTGGTGTCCCCGCCGTCGGGGCAGCGGGAGACGGAGCCCTTCAGCGGAAACGTGCAGAACTTGTTGAAATGAACGTTCGGGGATACGGGGATAACAGGATATTTGGTTCAGATTGGCCCGTTTTCGGTGAGTAAAATTGGGGCTGTCTTCCTTGGCTCATTCCAACTCTAGCCGTTGTAGTTCATTTCATATAGAGAACCATACAGCGTTCGGCCATTCCAATTGCATCTACCGGAAAGGATTGAAACGAGCAGACCACTGAGGCCAGCAAACGAGTCGAAGTATGACACTTCTTAGCTGGACTCGGACTGTTTTGAATATTCGTGCAATCTCTAATTCTCCTGGCGGCCATACTTCAGAGCAAGTCATCTCGATCTCTCGAGAATCTGAAGATGCAGTAGGAGAGGGCGTACGATAAGCGCAGTGCCGCTTTGGCCGGTTCGTTGAACGGATCCCTTGGTAATTCCCTTGATCTGATGATTCAAAGCAATGTCTTGGACAATCAGGGTTGCCAAGGAAAAGAAAAACCGCTTGCCTGCGCGTTGTTGCTGTCGCCGGGTGCGGCGCTCGACCCCTCGGTAAACTGCCGACGTGAACTCACATCCCCAGCACAAGCAGAAACCCTCAGAAAAGAGACAACCGAAGTACTTGTCTGCACGCTGCTGACGTCAGGCAATCGACCCGGCCTCGTAATTAGCACAAAATTAAGCCCAAAAGTTCGGACTTCAGGAAACGAAGCACTTGCCTGCGCGCTGTTGCTGTCGGCGGGAGCGGCGCTCGACCCCTCGGTGAGTCCGGACGTGACGGCACCGTACGACATCTGGTCGAGGGTCGTCCCTCCGGAGTTCTTCAAGCGGACGCCAGTTCCGGCAGTGTTGAAAAGCAGGTTTATGCAGGGGCCTGCGGGGGGTAAAACCCAGGTTTAGGGGACGGGTTAAGAGCGAACGAAGTTGAAAAGGCGAGGAAACCAGGGGAACACCAGTTCCGGCAGTGTTAAAGAGCAGGTTGAGGCAAGGGCCTGCGGGGGAGAAAACCCAGGGTTAGGGGACAGGTTAAGGGCGAACGAAGTTGAAAAGACGAGGAAAACCAGGGGAACACCAGTTCCGGCAGTGTTGAAGAGCAGGTTGAGGCAAGGGCCTGAGGGAGGTAAAACCCAGGGTTAGGGGACAGCTTAAGAGCAGACGAAGTTGAAAAGACGAGGAAAACCAGGCGAACACCAGTTCCGGCAGTGTTGTAAGAGCAGGTTGATGCAGGGGCCTGCGGGGGAGTTTGAGCCGGGGTTAGGGGACAGGTTAGTAAAGGGCAACGGAGTCTAAAGCGCCTGTTGACTTTACATCAGATCTGAGGGTGAGGGCCAGAGCTCACGGTAGAACGAGTTTGATGCGATGGAGATTCAATGGGTCAGTCTTTTGGGAATGAATGGCGAAGGGCGAACGAACCTAACGGCTGCCTTTAGCCGCTTGAGTTGGACTTGACCGTAACGGGGGAGGCTGCGACGAAACAACGGTTTGATGTGGGGGCAAGTGGAGGATGAGAAGAGCTAGAGCGGGAAGGCAGTGCAAGAGCGAGGGCGAAAAAGAACTTTTGGAGGGGCAAGAAGCACGTCAGGAAGAAGGGAGGGCAGAGATTGTGAAATCGAGGCATGTCATGGGAGAGCTTCTAAGAAGGGAACCTGAAAGGGGAGCCCGTGGGTATTTCGAGGTGCGAGAAGGCAAGGGGGCGGAAATTTTGCTAATGTCAATTAGAAGGGGGAGAGTGAGATTCGAAGGGCAACTGCATCTAGAGGAACTTCAGTGTGCTTCATTTTAGAAACGAAACTAGTAGCCTGCACGAGCAATGCTAGGGACGGCGAGACCCAATTTGCGCAACTTTCGAGGACGCTTCTACTGTAAAATGGGAGACGAAAGACCCATTTACCCTTCCTTTCTGCGAAAACAGCTTACAACAACTCCTCAACACTGAACACTTGTATTCGAACCAGACACAGCCCACGGGTCCACCAAGCACCACAACCACGCAACCGCTAAAACCGCGAGAAAACAGACCTACCGGAGGACACCCCGCAGCCGGCGGCGGGGGTAACCTTCAGGTTGCACCCAGCAATGGTGGAGCTAGTAGCGCAGATCACGAAGTAAGCTCCAGAGGCGACGCTGCCGGAAAGAGTGATCGTCTGGTAGACTACGTTTGTGTTGCGCACTAGCTCGAGCTTGTAGCCCGTGAGGGACAGGGTCGTGCAGCCCATATTGCGCAGCTCGACGAACTCAGCGGCATCGTTGCCGACCTGGGGGGGAGGGTTAAGAGAGGGGTTAGGGAAGGTTAAGATGCGGGTATAGAAGCGGGTTCCTTAGTGCGCTAAAGGGGTATCAGAGGTTCATCTGCCAGTGGCGAGGGGGGAAGATGCTGCAGCCCAAGATGCACAGCTCGACGAATTCAGCGGCGTCAGGGCCGACCTGGGTGGGGGAGGTTTTAGAGAGGGTTTAGGAAGGGTTAAGTGGCGGGTTCGAGAGAGCGTTAACGTCATGCTAATGGATCGTTTGAGGGATAGAGGTGATTTGCAGCCCACATTGTCAGCTTGACAAAGTCAGTGGCATTGGTGCCGAACTGGGCGGGGGAAGTTAAGAGAGGGTTAGGGAGGGTTAATGACTGCTCCGGCAGCGGGTTTTTGAGTGTGCTGGCTTCAGTTTTGCCTGCATTGAGGAAGGGAACGAACTTGCAGCCCATGTTGCGCGCTTAAACAGAATTGGTGACATTGATGCTGGCCTGGGCAGGGAGGTTAAGGGAGGGGTTAGAACGGGTTTGGGACTGGTTAGGAAGTATCAATGGTCCCTTGAGACTGATTAGGAAGGAACAGCGACTTGCAGCCCATGTTGCCCAGCTCAACGAAGTTGGCTGCATCGGTGCCCACCTAAACATTGGGGTTAGGAGGAATGTTCAGTAGTGACGTCCTTAGCCTGTAATCTTCTTCGATCATGAATGACTCTTCTGACATACATGAGGAAGGACTGAGAACTTTTTGCAACTCATGTCTCGAGTTAAGTCTGTTGAAGTTGAAACTTGGTGCTCACTCAGAAGTCAGATATGAAAGGAGCAATCGTGCGATTTGACAAACTGAGGGCTCAGCCAAGTCGGCGCTGTGGGTCCCAACCAAATTGTTCAGAAGGGGCTGAAAATGGCGGGAATGGAAGGGAAAAGAAAGAGGTAGGTCACTTCGTTGTTAGGGAAGGAGCGGGCAACCTGCAGTCAATGTAGGAAGACAAGAAAGAAAGGATGGGGGGTAACGGTTTTGGAAGAAGGGGTCTGGGATATGGGTCTCGTATCATCAAGAGATGGGCAGTCGCAGGGCTGCTCAACTGGGGAAATGATAAAGACGTGTGAGCATTTGGGTTAACTGTTGGGAGAGTTCTTTCCTTGGCACAGATTGCCAGCTAGCTTACTTCTCACTACCGGCAAAGCATGGCATCATACTTCCTCCTATTTTACAGCTGGTTGGATTTCTTAGGTATGGGGTAAAGGTGATTGAAAGCTCAGAGAGAGAGGTTCAAGGGGTGTGACAAGTTGTGGGTAAACTAGCTTGAAGCTAGGTGAGTGGGTTTGAGGAGACAGAGAAATGAGAACTCAAACCATCTGATTGTCTTGGACACCCCCAAGATGAGAATCATTTTGTCCAATCAGTTCCTAATGAGCTGACCAAAAGTGGACCCTGATACAGCCACACAGATCATCAACATTGTAAATCTTGCTCAATCCAGCTGGCTGGGGGCAATTGATGGCAATCTGTGCATTGTGGATGGTTGGGAAATAGATAGCAGTCTGTACATTTGAGATGAATCGGCCTTAGAGGACACTTTGAGAAAAAGCCGCACTAGGCGCAGTAAAAGTTTGTGGGTGAGCAAATATTGCTTTCGGAAGCTCGGTTTGGTCTGCGCCATTTAACTCGTCTGAACGTTGCAAGACTGTAGGAATAGACAATCACTAGACCATATTCTGACAAATCTTTGGCAATGCCTTGAGGGCACATCAAATCATACACTGATCATCAATCTGCGCCGCAGCTGGCATTCACTTCTTGAGCAAAAAGTATTAAGCCCTCCAGGAGTCAAAACCAAGTCAACTTCCTTATTCCCTCCCTGCTCATTCTCAATTCGATAGGAACTGATCAACGCAGAGCCCAGTTGGAACAGTTTGATCAGAACCTATCCAAACACAGCTCTCTGATGCACGAACAATCAAAAGATTGACAGGCGAGCCTTTGAAGAATGTCTGCATGCAGCAGCGATGATGATCGAAATTTCTATGCAGGGATTCCTTCCCAGATGCCTTGAGTGATGTGTAATCAAAATCTGCATAACTTGAGGGGCCACTCACATTGTCGTAGTCCACCTCGTTGATGATCAGGCCGCCAGCAGCCACGAGAGCGCAAAGCCCGAGCAGGACGAGGATGCGCAGAGAGGACTCCATCGCTCAGGAAATAGGAGGAGGGCTCTTTTCGGAATCACTAGAATGGAAAAGTGATCAAAATTGATGGATCAAAGTGAAACTTTGAGCTGTGAATTCTTGTAGCTACGTACAACTTTTCTACTGGTACTGAAGCTTTTTCCCTACGTCACTGCCAAGCTGCTATGACGATTTAAGGGAACCCTTTCCCTTTCGCACACCAGTAGGCGTTACTTACAGTGGATGATACCATAGTAGTACTGAAGACAAAGTCGTCTTGACTTTTCAGCTGGACATCCAGGCAAGGGCGCCTTGAGGGTGCAACCGCGACACTGCAAATGAGATGGTGGTTAATGGAACAAGTTTGAACCAGTTGGCCCAGATCATCACGCCAGCATCAAATGATTCTACGAGCAATATTCCCGTAAGGCGTGCTGTTTCGGCGCTGTTTACCGCCAGCATTTTTGTGCCAGGTAGGACTAGACACCCAAATGGCAAAGATCCCCTATCATCCAATCAGATGCGCGCCGGCGAGCGACAATAATTTGCAGTAGTAAAGAGAATGTTGCGACCCAATGATGGCACGACACTTGGCAGTATTCGCACAGATTTCCAATTTTCCGAGTTCCGAGTGTGTTGCCATTTTCATCCAAGACGGCATAAAAGCGAATCAAATTGTCGACGCAATGATGGCTGTACTTCTCGATGTCATGTTGACTAAAAGCATGTTGAGTCTTGACTAAGTAGTATTAGGATAGTGCTCGGGGGATCGTAAAGAACTACTAAGAAACCTAAACCAAGAAATGACGCGCTCCGCACCCGTACCCACCCTAACCCACACACCAAACCTACCCGTCCCCTGGGCACTCTTCTTAGTCAACATGGCCCTTTAATAGTCAACATGGGATAAACCCTCCGAATATTCCGAACCCCACTGCAAGCCTGAAGGGTTTGAACTTTGTGGTTATCCGGCCGCGACCCGGGACAGGCTCGCCGGCGCGCGGCCGCCGGGCCTAGCTGCCGCTAGCCAGCAATTATAGTAAATTCCATATTTCATTTGCGTGTATGTATATTGAGGGTATATCATGTACGTATCATGGCGTCATGTATGCGATTCATGTTTATGAAAGTAGTGAATTATGACCGCATACCATCGATCATCTGTACGTGCACGGTATGAATGGACCGTTTAAATGGCAATGGCCGGTCAGTATCGTGCGCCACCTTGCAATGCTGGGCCTGCTCGCCCTCAA